GAGCTGAGGTTGCTCAGTATAGGTAGCTCTTCACATGCTGAATTCAAGCATCAGATGATTCAGCTGACTACTTCCACGTCATATTTTTAGGAGTTTGGGCGCAATCAGATGCTATCAGGTTCGAGCAAAAAGAAGAGTTTCTTTCCTTTGATTTTTTGTAAGACGTCATTGAACGCAACTGGAAGGGAGCGCTGAAGGAAGCCCACTGATCCCTGAATCCACAAGGACACATAAAGAACTCGGCTCCTGCAACCAGAAGACCCTATAGAGTAGCGCTCTGGTTGAAGATCTGAATCCCGTTACCCTCCTCCTACATCTGCCACGAAGGAAACCTGCCTGAATCTGTTGATTTAACATTCAACAGAGTGACGATCTAACCAACTTTGCAACGATCACCAGGAGTTACCCCAAGTAAGAGCTTTGGTCTGGGCAGAAATAGTTTCGGAAATAGTTATGTTTCTTTTATAACCACTGATAATTATGCATCATTGTTGACGTCACATTCTGTTTATTATCTGTTGTAAGCTGCTGCATTTGTTTTATTGTAATGAACTGCTGTGTTCGTCTATGTGTTTAATGCTATGCTAGTTTACCTTCAGTCAACGGCTTTCACAATCAGAAAGACCAGTGTACCCGCCGTTGAATCAAAGTCCGGCCACTGTCTTTCTGGTGTTTAAGTAACAGTTACTGAACTCAGCTCAGAGAGCTCAAACTATTTCAAAAGGCAGCCACACGGCTTCCTTTGTTGTCCACCATTGTCTCTCTCCACCATCTTGTTCTCTTTCTCTCTCTCTCTCGTCTACACACACACACACACACACACACACACACACACATTTACACCTCATCCACAAGCCTTGCTTGATAATGTTTGTTTGCTTAGATTAGTTTATGATAGTTATTTGTTTGATTAAGTTAATTGATTTTGGATTGATGTTGCTTTGTTTAAATAAATTCTGTTATAATTTAAGAGAGCAGTTGTTTGTGATTACTGGTGTATTTACATTGTGATATAAGCTGGGTGCAAAGGCTTTGTGTACGGATTTCACGCCTTCAATTTATTAAATATAGTTATTCATTATTAATAATATTAGTAATTAAATAACTAATTTGAGACTGATTTGAGTGATATTTTGGTTATATTTACCTGATTACAGGTTGGTTCCCCAAAACGAGATTAAACATAGTTTAATGATATTTTATTTATATTATTAATAATTAAGTATAATTATTAAAGAATATAACCAAAGTTGACTTGATACAACCCCAACACACACATGCAGAGTCCAACAAAAATACGAGATATGATGCACAAAGATTCACAAAATTATTACATTTTGTATTTGCTATATGCATTAAAAACACAATTCAAGATATTTCCAGCCCGACCGGGTTCTTCATCAGGTGCTGTATGATACATAATAACACCTGAACCTCCATCCATCTATACCACTTTTGGTTGCGGGGGCCTGGAGCTGATCTGAGCATCATTGGTCGAGAGGCGGGGTTACACCTCTCACCTCGTCTCGTCTCGTCTCGTCCCACGTTGACCCTTGTTGTCTTGTCTCTTGGTAGCATTGGTTAAAGCATTGGTATCCAACCTGGGGCCCGGGACCCCCTAGGGGAGGTAGCCAAAGATCTCTTGTTGTCTGAATTAAATTCGCACATATCATGATATCCCGATATATTTCAGATAATCCAGATTTGCTGAAGTGGACTCTGTGGCATAGGAGTCATCGAGCGTACATGCTGCATGCCTTTATCCCTCGTGCTGCCATGAAGCGTTTTTAATGATATCAAGAGAAAACACTTGTAGAGAAAAAGATGTGAAGGAGGTCAATGAAAGTCTGAAGAGGAAGAGAAAGCGCCATCTTTAATGAGGTCTCTGAAAACCTGACTTTTAGTGACAGATGAAGTGAAGAGGAAAAAACAACACATCGAGATTTACAGTGACCTCTCATGTTTCTGTGTTCTCCTTTCAGCCACACGGGGGTGGTGTTGATCCAGGCGGAATTTTAATGGATTGGATGGATCCGTTTAAGATGACTCAGCAGTTTAACATGACGTCACCTTCAGAGAGGAAGAATACAAATATAGTCAGATATAAATATCAATTAAATATATTTGAATGTTTCACACTCAGGTAACATTAATAACTGAAGTAAATACATGATAATTTGATTACCACAATTATTATTATAACTATTACTGCATAGTAATAATGTTAACACAGAATCTAATAAAATAAAATAAACGAAAGAAATAGTTGTAAAACTTAACTTTTATCAAAGCTTAATACAGGTAGAAGGGCAAAAGCATAAAATATATGTATTTCATTATTATTATTATTTGTTTTTCAAATTTATGTTGTTAAATTAAAAAAAGATATATTTAACCTAATTTTCTATTATTTTATTTATTTGTATTTATATTTTTTAAATTAATTTATTAAATTGAATTAATTTAAATTTATATTCTATTTTACAAATTATTTATTACATTTGTTTTAGTTTTATTCTGTTATTTTATTTTAACTTAAATGTGTTTTATTTTGTAGTATTTTGTTTCGTGTTTCATGTTATTTTATTATTTATTAATTGATGGATTTAAACATTTTAAAACTATTATTTGAGTCGAGTTAGACTATCATGGTAGGCGGGATCTGCTCATGTTATTGACAGGCATCTCGGACCAATAAGCGTCATTCTTTGTGGCTACGTCACTCGCTGTCAGTTGTTTGGTGTTGCTCGCGCTGCCTGCAGACAGCAGCTAGGCCGGCTGTCACCTGGAGAAGCTGTCAGCAGGAGGAGGAAACTTCAGACACTTTCGACCTTTTAAACCGACTTTTTGATTCTGAACTGCATGCACATGCTGCATGCATGCACTGGCTCACATGACACCATGAGATTAAGGGTTGTTCATCGTCCTGGAACAGAAGTTTAAAGTGATTGTCTTGTCTTCATTTACAAACTTGTTTCTTATTTTGTGACCTTTCATCGGCTTGCATCTTTTACAGGATGATAGTTCACTCAGACAACTCACGTTTGTATTTGTTTAAAATATTTATTGCTGCTTATAGTGCTTTCACACTTGCAGAAAAATATTTACACAAGGAGCTGCATGTGTGAATGCAAACAGCCACATTTTTCGCTTGGACTTCACCTGGAGTTTCTCCTGCCAGACGCCTGGTATTTTTTACACAGTGAGTCCGAGTGAGCTGAAGCGAGAATGCAGCAGGATATTCTCCGGAGAATTCACCTTGAGCCAATAGGTGGGGGGGGAGTGACGTTTATAGACTGTGACTACTGCACGGTGCATAGACTGTATACTGTATAGATTCAGGTGTGCAGAGATTTTTTTCAACATTTTTCTACAAAGTTTTGAGACAAACATTTGCTAAAACACATCAAACAGATTTTTCAGTTTTTGCTCATCTGGCCTCCGCAATATTTCAGCTTTTTTGACGAGGCTATTTCATGAAGCAATAACTCTCCTAGGGTCATATTTGGACAGAGCAAAAACAAAATGGGACTCAGAGTCTACAACATCCATAGTGTGTGACCATCTGTCTAAAATGTTGTCTAACAAACTTGATCCCCTACAATTTGCCTATAAAGCAAAACGTGGTGGAGAGGATGCAAGTCTCACACTTTTAGACACTGTCACCAAACACTTTGACTCTGCACATCCCCACACTAGGATTCTATTCGTGGATTTCTCCTCTGCTTTTAATACTGTACACACAGACACTCTGTTGCGCCGCCTCTTGGACCTTCATGTCCACCCCACACTGGTTTTATGGATTAAGAGTTTTTAACTGCAACTGACTGACACCACTGACTGACACCACTGCCCTGACTCAATACTAGCAGGCAGTCAACAACCTGGTCCAGACAATTGGAGAAGACTCACTGGAGCTCAACATCACAAAGGCTAAGGAGTTGTGCTGTGGGGGCAGAGGGAAAATCACCATCACCTCTCTTCCAACCACTCACAATCCAGGGTCAGCTTGTAGAGCAGGTTCTTTCTTTTAAATATCTGGGAACAGAGATTGACATCTGTCTCTCCTTTTCACAGCATGCTGACTCTGTCTACAAGAAATCACAACAGAGACTCCACCTGATAAGGAAACTGAGGACTTTTAATGTCAGCAAACACATTTTAACTCTGGTTTACCAAACACTTATTGAATCCATCCTCACTTTTAACATCTCATCCTGGTACAACTCCCTCACCACCAAACACAAAACCAAACTCTCCCGCGTCATTAATCAGGCCAGCAAAATTATCGGTTCACCACAAACTACCCTCTCCGAACTGTATAATCGCTGCCATCAGGCAGACGCTACAAAGTCCCTCTGGCCCGGAAAAACATCTATAAAAAATCCTTCATTCCCTCTGCAATAACCATTCTGAACAAAATCAAATAGACCCCCCTTTTTAGAAACTGTTGTTTTTAAGTCCTCTTTTAATGTACTGCACTTTCTGTTTTTAATGTAAGTTGTGTTTATTGTTTGAGCCTTGTCGAAGGAGAATTTCTGTCTCTGTTGGGACAGACAATAAAGTATATCTATCTATCAAATCACACAACTTAGAAAGTTCAGAATCTTGAAAGTGACACATTATCCTCCTTTTCAAGAAGTTTAATAAAAGCTCCCCGAATCATCTCTGTGAAGTTTCCACTGATCCTAATAATAATAATAATAATAATAATAATAATATTATTTATTAGTTATAAGTTTATTTATAAAGCACTTATCAAAACCAACGTCACAAAGTGCTTCACAGAAAAAAGAAAAATCCCAACAGTCAAATACACAAAAATAAAATCCTATCAAAAAAGCATGAAAAATAAAATAACAGCGCAGCAATCATCCAATGAACAGAAAAGAGAAACAACCGAGACAGAGATTGGCAATTTCAGTTTTGTCAGCGTTTAATTTTAGATATTTCCTGTGGAATATAAAACCCTGCTGTAAGTATTTAAAACTCACTGAACTCAAACCACCCCCCTCTTTATGAGGGCGCCTCAGTAAAGCCCAGCTTTGTAAAGAGCCTGTGGGAGAGCGTGTTCTCCTCCTTGATGAAGCAGTACACCGGGTACCCCTCAGCGTGGAGCCTCCTCGCCATGCTGCAGATCAGGACTTTGGCATAACCTTTCCCTCTGTGCTCCGGCAGCGTGTACAGCATGCCCATGGCACAGTAATCATACACCAGGATCCAGGACACGGGATGACCTTCATCATCCAGCACGCAGCAGGAAGGGAAGTTTGTTACCATGTTCCGAATCATAACGAGAGCCTCGTCGCTATTTGAAAACTTCCACGTCTGATTCACGACGTTCATTCAGAACCCTGAATGTAGGAAAACGTTTACAAGCCATCCGGTCCCTGCATGACCAAAGTGGGAGCTGTGTCCGTATCCTCATGCATAAAGTCAGACGCACTCCCTGTGCTTGTTAGGGTTACCCCTTGTCACCAATTCATGGACAGGATCTCATGTTGCAGGAAGGGGGAGGAGGGTTTCCAGTTTCAGGGGCCTCAAAATCTCATCTCTGCTTTTTTTGCAGATCATGTGATTTTGTTGGCTTCCTCAAACTCCAGCGGGCATTGGAGCGGTTTTGCAGCCGACTGCGAAGTGGCTGGGATGCCGACCCCTCTCTTTGCCCCCAATTCTACAATTCTACAATTCTCTTAGCAGACGCTTTTATCCAAAGCGACGTACATCAGAGAGTAAGAACAACACAAGCAAGGATCTAGAAAAAAGGGAACAATGTCAGTAAGAGCAAACGATCAGCTTTGAGTCTGATTGGACACACAGGTGCTGACAGGAAGTGACCAGAGGCAAAGCACAACATTGAGGGCAGTTCTTGAGAGCTCTAATCAGTATAGAAACCATCTTATAAGTCGTCGTTATCAAACAAAAACCATCGTCATTACCATCATCATCATCAATAATATGGAGACCATCATCATTAAGTTAGTAGGTATTCATGAAAGAGCTGGGTCTTTAGCTTTTTCTTAAAGGTGCAGAGGGACTCTGCAGATCACATGGAGTTTGGTAGTTGGTTCCACCACCGGGGGGCGACAGAGGAGAAGAGTCTAGTTAGAGACTTAGGACCCTGTTGTGAAGTTTGGATCAGACGCCTTTCATTGGCAGAGCGTAGTGGGGTGGTGGGGTGGGGGGGGGTGTAGACCTGGATCAGAGAGTTAAAGTAAGGAGGAGACGTTTTTGTCACTGTTTTGTAAGCGAAGAGCAGAGTTTTAAATTTGATGGGAGCAGTAACTGGGAACCAGTGGAGGGAGACGAACAGCAGAGTGACTTCGTTTTCACATGACGGCCCTTTAATCAGTCACATACTACGATAACAGCAGGTTACTTATCTCTGCACTTTGACTCTTTGTGGTGCAGAAAGATAAAGTGAGATCGTGCCAGGCCTTTCTCAGATCACTTCATGATCTCTCCAAACAATAGAAGGACTTTGAACACAATAAAGTGCAGAACTTGAAAAACTAATTTACACCTTCAGGGCGGTGAAGAAGATAAATCGTCACACAGACAAACAGATTTCTGGGTTTGTTCTCAGTTATTTTCTATCATTGAGTTATGCAGGAATTATTCTTATTTTCTAGCCCTGCTCAGAACAGGCTGTTTCTGCGTCTGTACCTTTAAATATGTAAATGAGCTGTGTCTGAACACGCCCCCTCTCTGGAAGGGCTTGGGTGTCTCTGTGCTTTCTCGCTCCATGTCCTATTGTTTACGGTGAGAAGGCAGACTCAGAGGGCAGAACAAACACCTAGCTGTGGGAGTGTCACCCACCTGGGGGAGGGGCTACTGCCCTTTGTGATGTCATGAAGGGAAAATCTCCAAACAGCCTGTTCTGAGCAGGGCTAAAATAGAGGGGTTTATAGACATGATCAAATACAGGATCAGAGTGGATTTAAAACAAGAAACTTCACACACATGTTTTGAGGCGCTCTGAGACTTATTTAAACTGAAGAGGAGGCGGAGGATATGTGACTTTTACATTTATGTTTGAAATGTCACTCCTCTGTTCATCTCCCTCCACTACGCTCTGCCTTCTAGATTGATATTTCCTGTAGATAAAGCACAAGACCTGTATCATTTCAAATGGCTTCTTATCTTTGTAAACTGTTTACAACTCTAAATATGATAATATTTTAAAAGTCTGTGTTTCAGATTTCACTTTTAGTGAAACAACTTTATAATGCATTATCATCAAAACTACCTCATGAAATACACAATGTTTAAAAATTAAACACATTTTAACAGCATGTGATTGTGTTGATGTGTCTGGGTATTAAAGGTCACACATATATATATATATATATATATATATATATATATATATATATATATATATATATATATACGTCCGCCATTGTATAAATCTCATGTAAACGTTAGTGAACATGTTGCACACTGATGTAAAATGCAGGAGAGTGTCACATTACAAGCCCCAAATATTTCCTCATCTACACATAAACAGAGGTCCTGAAAATCTTCACCCTGGAATGAGTTTTCCAAATGTACATTTTCAGCGACCTAAAATGCATTTTGCATACCAAAGGCCAAAACACAGAGAAAGCAGCGTTAAAAAAGAACGCCTACCTGTGGACTATAGTCCTTCAACCCAACAATTTATGTTTGTCCTCTGTGTGGGACATGAATCTCCAAAGGATATTTCTGAAACCTGTTGGACCCTGTAGACGACAATCTGGTCTTTCTAATGAGCGGCGCCATCTCGACTAACACATTTTATGGTGGCAAGAGAGGTAAGGTGTTGGTATTAAACTAAAACTATGACTACTACTACTACTACCACTACCCACATGACCTGCTTCATTATTATCATTACTAACATTGTATTATTATTATTATTATTATTATTATTATTATTTAGCATCAATGTATATACACACTGTACATTCTATATATTTTATTATATTAGTCTATATTATATAACATTTAATTATATTACACTATATTGTTTATATTATATTACACTACATTATATTATATAACTGCACTCTGCATTACTGCGGTACAACACTGCCTCTCTTCTCTGCTGTTTTACATACTTGCTGCTATTTATCACACCAAGTCATTTTAATCATCACACCCTGCATAGTTAACTTCATCATTCATTTTGTACTTGTATATACCCCCTATTTTTATTTATCTTATCTAATCTATTTTGTTTAATGTGTATTTTGACCTTACTTGTCTGTGCTGCTGCAACGCCCGAACTTCCCCTCTGGGGATCAATAAAGTATTATCCTATCCTATCCTAAAAACCCACATTTCTGCTTTTTCTTAAAGTAAATAGTCGACATGTTTCAGATAGGCAAGTTTATTCGTAAGGTGCATTATAGCAACAAGGCAATTCAAAGTGCTGCTCACAAGACATTGAACGCATCATGACAGAGAGAAAAAGAATAAAATAGAACATTTTAAAATCATGAAGAGAAGCAGTTTTTAAAGATCTGCACGACATTTTAACCACCTAACTACTTCTTTTTATGAACTTCATTGTGGACTTTGATGCTTCATCTGCTTTTTTATGAACATATTGGTGTCACAGGTGAGACAGAACATTTTGCACAACCCTGCGTTCACGTACTGGTGGAATAATTGGACAAAAGAGTTTCTATCAGGGAAAAGTTTCGTCTAAGCTTCCTCAAGTTTAAAGGACATTTAGAGAAAGTTATTGTAGCCTATTAGCAGACTTGACAGAGTCTAGTCTCACAACTGTTTAAACTTACGCGTTGCCTTTCAGGTTAAGGCGAATTTGTCATTAACTTTATTCTGTGATGTTGTAAAAATGGTTGCTTTTAGTTTAGGGTTTCCCAGATTAAACCTGCACTTTAGAAAACAACATATTCAATTTATAATGTACATGTTGTTTTAATTTTTACGATTGTGAACAGAGCAATCTCAAGAAAAGAGAAGGTCTGAAGCGCAAGTGAACGCAGCACACATGACCATGTGACGTCAACGTAATGTTGACTGCTGTCAATGTTTAACTAAAGCAGAATTTCCGCAACACTAATCAGAGGCCAGTAGCAGACAGACTGCAGATAAACAAAGACATTAAAGGACATTACAGCTCGATAACATGAAGGTGTTGAACAAAGACGAACTGAAGGTCGCTGAAGCAGTTCTTCTGAATCACTTTCCCAGGAGTATAAAGGTAACGGAGCACGGCTGAAGGCTCCTTTTTTTCTATTTTATTTAACCAGGCAAGAATTGCTTGAGATCAAATAACCTCTTTTTCGAGCAAGGCCTGGCCAAAATGGCAGCAGTAAAAAAGAAATATAAGACAAACCTAAAAATAAAGCACAGACATGAGAAAAAGAGACAAATACAGTCCAGATGGTGAAGAAGAAGAAGAAGAAGAAGAAGGAGGAGGAGGAGCAGGAGGAGCAGGAGGAGCAGGAGGACGAGGTCATGTTAAACAAAAACAAACACAACACCACAATACACACTAAAAGAACAATTATGTGATGATGATAAAATACTATGCAGTGAAACATTTACACACTCCAAAATCAGCCATTAAAAAACTTTTAAAATCATTAAGAGTGACGAGTTCCTGCAGTTTGAGTGTTTTTTGAAGACTGTAAACATACCAAGGTGTTTAAAAGTGGAAACGGTCTCAATAAGAGTACCTTGAAATGTAAACAGAGTGGGCTGACAGTTAGTTTTGTCCCTGGATTTAGTGAAGATCCTCATTGTAGTTTTATCTGCATTAAGTACCAGTCTTAAAGACAGGAGTTGGGCTTCTATTTCTTTAAAAGCAGCATGCAAGCGATCAACAGCCTTTAACACAGTCTCTCCAAAACAATAAATAATAGTGTCGTCAGCATAAAAATGGGCATTTGCATTTTGGACATATTTCCCCAAATCATTAATATAAATAGTAAACAACAAGGGACCTAATATAGAGCCTTGTGGCACCCCCTTGTGGACAGCCAAAGTATCAGAGGAGCAGCCATCAACTTAAACACATTGAGTCCTGTCTGAAAGATAGTTAGAAAACCAACCAACAGCAGAATTAGACAATCCTATATTAGCCAGTCTATGCAATAATACATCATGGTCCACTGTATCGATGGTCCACTGACAGCTCCTTCATGCTGTCACAGGTGTTACGGTTTATCCAGTGACCGTGTTAAGAGAAGACTTCCAGCCGAATGCGAGTGTGGTTGTCATAGTTACAACAGACGTATTCGACTGAAAGTCACCAGTTAACACGGTCTCTCGTTACACCGTTACACCTGTGTATAAATAAATGAACGTTTTCTTCTTTCAACGTATAAGGTTGCGTATGTGCTATAACGAAAGTGTACTTCAAGCTTCTGTAAAGTGTTGCACCCATTGTTAAAAAACATGATTGTCCTAAACAAAGACGAAATAGGCTACACGTGGGTCATGAACTGTTCAAACACCTGCCCAGGTGATCAATGGTAACGTAAAAGCATGTTTGCATGCCCATTGTCAGCATGATTTGTGTCCATAAAATAAAATATGTATTTCCATCTTAGCTGTGAAGTGTTCCTGTTTGCAGGTTTACGGTTTCCTTCATGGTATCAACAGAAACAAACCGAGCACCCTGGAGGTGCTCGTTGATACCTGGCCGGATTTCAAGGTCATCATTTGCAGACCTGACCCCAAAGTGAGTTCACATGCAGGCCACTGGAGATTTTTTTTTGTAAAGCCACATTTTTATTTTAGTTTCAGTAAGTAGGATTTTGAGATACTGGGGACTTGAAGTGTTGCTGGAGCCTGAGACCTGAAGCCTTTCTCTCTTCATGCATCCTGCTAGTTGGTGAAGTTGTGACAGATAAACCTTCTCTGCTTCATTACGGCTGCAGCCCTGAGAAAATGACCTGCGACCCCATTATCAAACGATGGATGTCGTTAAACGTTGTGTTTCCTTCTCAGAACCGGCGAGCACTGCAGTTCGTGAAGAAGGTGGCGTACTACAGCACGGACGAACAGATTCTGAGGAAAATGCTGGCGGAAGAGAACGCAGTAGACTGGAGCACTTACTTCCTTATTGGAGGCGAGTTAAGACAAGTATTCCTCAAACCTGTTTTTCTAACGAACTTTAAGAGAAAGAAAGATATAGAGGTGAAATATATCGCTGAGCCATCAGTGTTTGTAAAAACAACATCCTTTAAACAGAAATGAGGTTCGTGCATGTCTTGTAACTTTTGTCTAGTTGCTTCCTGCAGAAAATGCAGAAAACTGTTTAGCAGGAAGGAATCTTAAAGACAGTCCTCTGGGCGTCCCTCCCTCTGGGCGTTCCTCTGGGCGTCCCTTCCTCTGGGCGTCCCTCCCTCTGGGCGTCCCTCCCTCTGGGCGTTCCTCTGGGCGTCCCTCCCTCTAGGCGTCCCTCCCTCTGGGCGTCCCTCCCTTTGGGCGTCCCTCCCTCTGGGCGTACCTCCCTCTGGGCGTACCTCCCTCTGGGCGTCCCTCCCTCTGGGCATCCCTCTGGGCGTCCCTCCCCCTGGGCGTCCCTCCCTCTGGGCATTCCTCTGGGTGTCCCTCCCTCTGGGCGTTCCTCTGGGCGTCCTCTGGGCGTCCCTCCCTCTGGGCATTCCTCTGGGTGTCCCTTCCTCTGGGCGTCCCTCCCTCTGGGCGTCCCTCCCTCTGGGCGTTCCTCTGGGCGTCCCTTCCTCTGGGCGTCCCTCCCTCTGGGCGTACCTCCCTCTGGGCGTACCTCTGGGCGTCCCTTCCTCTGGGCGTCCCTCCCTCTGGGCGTCCCTCCCTCTGGGCGTACCTCTGGGCGTCCCTTCCTCTGGGCGTCCCTCCCTCTGGGCGTCCCTCCCTCTGGGCGTACCTCTGGGCGTCCCTTCCTCTGGGCGTCCCTCCCTCTGGGCGTACCTCCCTCTGGGCGTACCTCTGGGCGTCCCTTCCTCTGGGCGTCCCTCCCTCTGGGCGTCCCTCCCTCTGGGCGTACCTCTGGGCGTCCCTTCCTCTGGGCGTACCTCCCTCTGGGCGTACCTCCCTCTGGGTGTCCCTCCCTCTGGGCGTCCCTCCCTCTGGGCGTCCCTCCCTCTGGGCGTTCCTCTGGGCGTCCCTTCCTCTGGGCGTCCCTCCCTCTGGGCGTTCCTCTAGATTGTTTTTACTTTGTCTGTCTTCTGGTTTTTGCCTTGAGACATTTTACCTGTCTGGTTCTGTTCCTGTGTTTGCATCAGTTTCACCTTTTTTTTCTCCCCTTTCTTCTTGTTTGGCATTACATATCATTTAAAAGTTAGCAGCTTAAAATGCACTAACCAGACTACCGTTTGAAGTCAGAAGTCACAAACAAACATAAACGTACCCATTCCAGCTCTCTAAAGTACCACCAGGTGGGGTACAAGTCTCCAAAACACCTTCAGAGAGTATACTTTTATTTCAGCACCTGGGTGAATACTTCTTCCACTTCTGGTAGATACTCGTGCAGAAAAAAAACAAAGATTAATTTAACTCTTGCTTTTTTTTTCCCTCCAGGATTTGACGTTTCCCACGCCCCCATGCTCAAAGAAGTGGCTGCAGAGAGAGAAGTCAACCACAGGTTCTACACTTTGGTGCATCTGATGTATTTACCGGACATCGGCAGTCTGCTCGCACCTGAAGTCGACAGGTACAGTCGGATAAGTGAGGGACTTTAAATGAGGCGCCCGGGGGGGCACACATGTGTTCTTCACTGCACTCGTGCTTTGTGAAGAAATTTAACTGAAGTAATAATTTAACTGGGATCGATTCAACCAGACCAGTGCATGGTATAGGATATATGTACCGTTGCTACCTAAATCTACAACAGAAAAAAAAAGTAATTATTTTTCTTCTAATTGGATGAAATAGTATTTTTGTCCGTGTCTCCACAGAGAGCTTGAAGCGAGGGTTTCCCCCCTCGCCCCCTCTCATGCTGAGCTGGTGAATCAGACGTGGAAGTTTGGAGGGAGCGAGAAGGGCTTCAGGAACATTCAAAAACTCATCAGCTCCTTCCCTTCATGCTGCATCACAGATGGCCAGGGTCAGCCCGTGTCCTGGATCCTGGTGTATGATTACTGTGCCATGGGCATGCTGTACACGCTGCCGGAGCACAGAGGGAAAGGTTATGCCAAAGTCCTGATCTGCAGCATGGCGAGGAGGCTCCACGCTGAGGGGTACCCGGTGTACTGCTTCATCGAGGAGGAGAACACGCTCTCCCACAGGCTCTTTACAAAGCTGGGCTTCACTGAGGCGCCCTCATACAGGGCTGCATGGTTTGAGTTCAACTTTTGATGATGTCATTGTTAAGATCTGTGAGGGAATTTTGATGTGCACTCATGAAAAGAGATGGTAGAGGTGGCGTGCAGACAGTCTATGGTCGTACAGCGATCACAGGATATAAACTTCACTCCCCCCCTCCCACTGGCTCCAGGTGAATTCTCCTGATTATATCCTGCTGCGTTCTCACATCAGCTCACTCTGACTTTCTGCAGAATGATGTGTTGGTACTGGGGGGGTGTGTATAAAAGTTCAGTATGAGCCTGACTGTCAGAAGAGAACTACTGTAATGTCTTCTTTCCATGCTGCATGTAGTAAAAAGGTTTTTGGCTCATAACTCCAAGTTTGTATGTCTTCAGAAAACAAGCATTTCTTATATTTTTTTGAAGAAATTTCTCTCTCAGATAATTGATGGTTAGTTAAGACAGAGAACAAGTCTTTGGGCATACTCTGAGATCTATTCCACCATCTGACTCCAACTCAGATTGAACTTTGTTTACCGACTTTGCAGCGCGACAAAGCTCACCGCTGATAGTTCTGCTGTGGTGGGATTTTTCTGCCGGAAGCATCGCTCGGAAACGACTGCTGTTGTAGACTTCTGATTCAACACAGAGTTGAAACACATGCAGGCTGGACTGTGGCTGGGAAGCAAGGAGGAGGAGGAGAAGCGGCTTGACCTGGTAACGAGGACGCAGGACTGGAGAGTGATGAGCCACGCCCACCTCACAGACAGACACAAGAGGGACGGGGGGAAACACCGGGAATGCTGAGGCTGCGGTCAAGGCCGAAACAACATCGTCTCACAAAAACAGTGACAAAGATTCAGAAAAATACAGGCTTTTTCTGCTTCTTCTTGTACTCCCTCTTCAAAGACAGGTTGTTTTATTTCACAAAGCAGCATTAGTGTAGTTTATGTGTAGAACTTTTTATTGTCTGCTGATGGAATTCAGTTAATAAAAGGTAACTGTAGTGTTACTACAAATCCAGAGGTAGGCGGTAATGCAACTCTTTGGAAGCCAACAGCCTTTAAAAACAAACAAAGAAGAAGAAGCTCCAATTTTAATCTACAACCATTGATTAGGAAGTCTGTCAGTTATGCTGGAAACACGAGAGATGCAGTCAAAGTAACTGGACTGAGGCTGGGTCACTGTGGGTTAAACCAATGTTTACACACTGTAGGAAAACATCCCAGTGGACTGTGTGAATATGGAAGTCCAGAAACAGTTATACACATAGGAATGTAAAAAATAACACCTTACAAAGAAAGACATTATTCAAAAGATTGTCTGAGTGGGGATAACTTTGTTTTTCAGTTAAAACATTGCTTGGTCAATATGAGAACCACCCCTTGATTGCAAAAACAGTTATTCATTTTCTACATATAATAATAATATCATAATAATAAAGTTTATTTATAAAGCACTTATCAAAACCAACGTCACAAAGTGCTTTACAGAAAAAATAAAAAATCCCAACAGTCAAATACACAACAATAAAATCCTATTAAAAGCATGAAAAATAAAACAACAGTGCAGCAATCATCCAATGAACAGAGAAAAGAGAAACAAAGGAGACAAAGATTGGCTAAAGTTAACAGTAAAACAAATAAAACATCCTGAATGAAACAAGGATTATAAGAAGGCCTTACGATAAAAATGTGTTTTTCAAGAATCTGAAGTTATGCTTTTGTAGAATGACTTAGTTCCCGTCTACCTGTGGAGGGCAGTGATACGCCTAGATGTGTCTGACTGCCGGAAAATTTACAAGAAGAAGAAGTTTCTCCATGCACTTGAGACTTCACCCCACGGAGGGTGCGTCACGCCTTCGTTCAGCTGTGGGCGTGACGTCACCTCACTCGTGCAGGAGAGTGAGTGTGGAGGGAGCAGCTCGAGGAACAGGAATAACTACTTTTGGGTTTTTTTTTTTAATTCCAAACGGGATTCAAACTTTTCTGTCCAGTGACGATGGAGCTGAGCGAGCAGCAGCTGAAAGTGTCAGAGACTGAGCTGAGGAGATATTTACCTCGCTCACTGCCGGTGTGTGTCTGATTAAATATAATCTTATTTAGTTTATAGAACTCAAATCCAACGATGTGTTCAAGTACAACATTTAAACATGAATCAGAAGAGGTATGTGTTCCTGTTTATGGTGGTTACATGTGATTCTCTCGGCTGCAGATACATTAAATAATCTGAAAATATAAAGTGCAATCGTCCCAGAATATTTTATTTATTTGGTAGATGTTTTAAACTCAGAAATAGGCACAGGTAACCAAAAAGAGTAACTCACTAAACCGTTAATATGCCAACAAAGACGTTAAAATGATCTGCACATTGCACTTTGACTCCCTGGACACTTTACACTGTTTACATTATTCTATATTTTATATTTTGTATATTCAAATAATTATTTTTTAAATTTTACATTGTATTCTATTTTACTGTATTTATGCGTGTTAGTAATTTGAGTGTTTATTGCATGGCCTTGTGGAACAGTCCTTACATTTCACTAAACATCTGTATGAGCATGTGACAAATACAAATCTTGAATCTTGAATCTTAAAATCAGTTAAACTAATTCGGTAAATAATTCACTTAAATTAATGTTAATAGGTATTTTAACTTTTTTGAAACAGCAGCTTTTTAAAATACAGATCAGGCAGAATTTCACAATAAAAGCGCCCAGAGAATATATATATATATATATATATATATTTTTGGCCAATTAGCAACCTTCGATTTTGAAAAATTAAGCCAACATGGAAGTGCAAAATCTTGCAGTTCATCGAGTGTCCACTAGAGGCTGGCTACAGAAGAACAGGAAATCACATACACACCCATTCTAAAAAGCCTGTTTTTACAGCAGAAATGAACATGTTTACAGCCTGGTTCAAAAAACCAAATAGGTGTGATTAGCTCATGTCTGGATGGACACACACTGTACGGGGGGTGAATGTTTTGATGACTCATCAGTTTTGATTTGATGAAGGATAAGAGTTATTCACAATAAGGCGTGTAGCTGACCTGATTGACAGGTGGGCGCGGTGTAACGGTTTGTCAGGAGGTTTAAAACCCGCCTCAGCTCCAGCTCTCAGCCTGTCGTTAGGTTGACTGAAAGTTAGACTGAGACAGCATTTCCAGCATCGACCGCCATCGATGGGACTCCAGCGCCCCCCTGCAGGAACAGACGGGTGACGTCACTCTGACTTCAAACATTAATATTTACAGTCTGTGGTTTGACTTTCTTCATATCTGATCAAACTATTTATTGGATGTAAGAGTAACTTGTTGTTTCTATGTTGCAGGTTTACGGTTTTTTGATGCACAGAAACCGAGTCCGTTCAGATCCTTTGGCGGTGTTTGTGGACAGATGGCCTGACTTTAACGTCCTTATCTGCAGACCAACATGTAGACAGGTAATCACTGAAGCTGCCTGAACATGTTCGTTAAATATAAGATCACACAGCATGCATGAATATCATGTTTCTTACAGAAGGGCGATCTCTTCAAAGACATTCATGTTTTTGCAAATGATAAAACCAGTCTTGAAGAAACCATCAGGAAGTCGTCCGTCATCGATTGGACCAGGTTCCTCTGTCTTGGTGAGAGCATTTTATTCTTTGAATTGTCTCAATTATCTGACATCAGTTCACTTACTTTTTAATCTCTCCTACTCCAACCACATTTCTTTTATGAAGATGTGATCAATGTACTGAAGCCCTCAACCCTTAAAGATCACATATTCCAAACCCTCTTCTCCATGTTCCTCTAACTGTAACATGTGTCTCTAGTCCGTCTACAAACCCCCCAATGATGAGAAAAGTCCATCCTCTCTGTCTTCTGCCTGCTCCACTTTTCAGAAAATGTGTGCTCAAACAGGCCGTTTGGAGATTTTCCCTTCATGACATCACAAAGGGCAGTAGCCCCTCCCCCAGGTGGGTGACACTCCCACAGCTAGGTGTTTGTTCTGCCCTCTGAGTCTGCCTTCTCACCGTAAACAATAGGACATGGAGCGAGAAAGACCGAGTACACCCAAGCCCTTCCAGAGAGGGGGCGTGGTCAGACACAGCTCATTTACATATTTAAAGGTACAGACACAGAAACAGCCTGTTCTGAGCAGGGCTGAAATAGAGGGGTTTATAGACATGATCAAATACAGGATCAGAGTGGATTTAGAACAAGAAACTTCACACACATGTTTTGAGGAGCTCTGAGACTCATTTACACTGAAGAGGAGGAGGATATGTGACTTTTACATTTATGTTTGAAAATAAGAATAATTCCTGCATAACTCAATGATAGAAAATAACTGAGAATAAACCCAGAAATCTGTTTGTCTGTGTGACGATTTATCTTCTTCACCGCCCTGAAGGTGTAAATTAGTTTTTCAAGTTCTGCACTTTGTTGTGTTCAAAGTCCTTCTATTGTTTGGAGAGATCATGAAGTGATCTGAGAAAAAAATGGCACGATCTCACTTTATCTTTCTGCACCACAAAGAGTCAAAGTGCAGAGATAAGTAACCTGCTGTCATCATAGTATGTGACTGATTAAAGGGCCGTCATGTGAAAACGAAGTCACTCTGCTGTTCGTCTCCCTCCACTGGTTCCCCAGTTACTGCTCCCATCAAATTTAAAACTCTGCTGATCGCTTACAAAACAGTGACAAAAACGTCTCCTCCTTACTTTAACTCTCTGATCCAGTTCTCCACCCCCCCCCCCCACCACCCCACTACGCTCTGCCACTACGCAAATTTAATTATTATCTGCATGATTCTGTCCAAGGATTCGATCATCGCCACATTGGGTTATTCAAAGCAGTGGCATCAGAAAAAGAAGTGCCCGGACGAGAGCTGGCCGTGTGTCAAGTGAAGATACTGGAGGACGTTTCCAAGCTTCCTGATATAGACAGGTATTGCCAGATTATCTGGAGGATTTCATCAGTACTTTGTAGGTGCATTCATGAAACGTCTTGAGGCAACCAAAACTTGAAAATCCAGTCAGAGGACAGGTTCTCTGGACAGGGTCGCCACCACATGTGTTACACTGTTTCACATTAAGAAACAGGAGTGCATGAACAGAATGTGCAGCACAGACTGAAATAACCCATAGCTCAGTAAACTTTGGGTGGAAGTTGAGTAAGTTTGAGCGTCGCTCACTGACATCAGGCTGATGAGCTTCCACCTGTAAGCTTGGCTCGCAGGTGGAAGCTCAAACTTGAGGTACCACTTATTTTTTACATCCCTGCGCCTGCAGGAACACGCTGCAGCGACTTAACTACAGTGTGCTGAACGGTACAAAATAGCACATGATTAACAAAATGAAAATGAATACAGACTTTATTTGTAGAGTTTCTTCTCATTTGCATGAAGGAACAACATTTTTTAAAGTTTCCAGTTGTAGTCTGAGCTCAGCTTTAATCTGCTCTGTTCTTCTTCTTCAGCTCGGGGATGTCACTCAGCTCTCTGGACGAGTCGCACGTCAGCTTGGTGAATCAGACGTGGAAGTTTTCAAATAGCGACGAGGCTCTCGTTATGATTCGGAACATGGTAACAAACTTCCCTTCCTGCTGCGTGCTGGATGATGAAGGTCAGCCCGTGTCCTGGATCCTGGTGTATGATTACTGTGCCATGGGCATGCTGTACACGCTGCCGGAGCACAGAGGGAAAGGTTATGCCAAAGTCCTGATCTGCAGCATGGCGAGGAGGCTCCACGCTGAGGGGTACCCGGTGTACTGCTTCATTGAGGAGGAGAACACGCTCTCCCACAGGCTCTTTACAAAGCTGGGCTTCACTGAGGTGCCCTCATACAGGGCTGCATGGATGGGGTTCAATGAGCTTTGAATAACTGGTTATTAGCTGTTTTCACACATGCTCTATTTCAGATAGAATGCCCCTGGAATGTTCCTGAGGTGCTTGTTCACACAAGTCTGTCAGAGCAGGATGTTTTTTTTATTTTATTGTGGAGGTCTCATCAGGTAATAAATAACATAAAAAAAGACACTGCTGCAATCAAAGATGTGGGACGAAGAGACAGAGCCTGATTCTAAGACGACACTGCTTTGCCTTGAACGTATTCACGATAATAACTAGACAATTTGCATTTGCCTGCAGAAAATGCGTGGGAATGCCGACTGCTGAAATGTTTTGCAAAACACTGCTGAATGAAGAAGAATCAGCAGAAACAGATGAAGGATTAGTAGATGAAGAAGTAAAAGATGAAGAAGAATAGGAAATAGTAGAAGAAGAGTAGTAGTAGAAGAATAAAAAGTAGTAAAAGCAGAAGAACAAGAAGTAGAAGAAGTAAAAGTATTAGTAGATGAAGAAACAGTAGTAGAAGTGGTAGAACAAGTAGAAGATACTGCTTAAATGCAGTCAGACAATAAGAAAAAGGGGACAATGTCTCCACATTGAGTGCTCATTTCAAGGGCTTAATTTAAGAGTTGGTGGCTAAATGATGATTTTGTGAGCAAGAGGACAAATGGCCGAACGCGTTGATGTGATTTTCATGTCTGGGATCCAAGAAATGTGGGAAGTGTTTAGAATTAGTTTTGGTATTTAGTTTACTAATATTTGGGTGTTGTTGTTTATTTAATTATTTTACACATTTTCTTTATTTAGAATAGATAATTGGGTAATATTTTCTTTTGCTAGTTGTTCGTTTAGTAAATTTAGTTTTGCATTAGTATTTTTGTTAGGTATTTGGGTAACACTGTGGGCACCAGAGGTTATTTAGGTAAGAGGCAGGTAGAGGACCAGCATGCACCTGGGTGGGCCTATGAGAGGCAGCAGGAGCCATGACTTTCTTTGTTCTTTTGTTTGCTTTCTTTAAATAAACCACCAAACAACGGCAGATCTCGTGCATGGACATTGGATTTCTTTTGCCTGTGTACATCACATCCCCCATGGTGCATCAGTGGTCATTTGATTATTTTTGATATTAGTTTTAGATTTTTGTTTTTGTTTTTGGACAAATAGCCACTATACGAGCCAAAAGTAGACAAGCTGAAGTAAAAATAAATCTACAGATCTTAAAGTAATATTTGTATCCAACGACTGCTGCAAGTGGAAGAGAGAGAGCAGTGGTGCTTTCTGTTTATCGAGCACATTTGAAGTCTCAAAAAGATGTAAAAGTTATGTTTATATCTCTCCCTGAGTACATTTTGGTAATTGACGCCCAGGCTGATAAAACTGTTCTATAATTACATGTGTGTCACATGTGTCTCGTAGAACGCATTCATGTGTTGCATTCAGTGTTTAATTCATTGATTAATTGATTTTAATCAATTGTTCAGTTCATATGAATTGTTGCTCACATACCCAAACATACAGTAACTGTAAGATTTCATTTATAACATAAACAGATATTTTAATCTGATCTATAAAATAAAATAGGAAACAAAACAATTGAGTGGAAAATAATATACATCTTGTTTATCAACTCAATTACATTAAAACCCATTAACAATTGTTAGATACTGCAGCCCATCAGTGTTTGGCCTTATAATTATTCAGCAGTAAAACAAAGGCAAAGTGCAGTTTTAGCTGTAAAACTGAAATGGTTAACCTGGAGTTCATATTACAATATATATTTAAAAAATGGTTTTCTCAGTTTGGCATTATTGCAGATAGAAGGGATGCATTCCTCGGCTGTTATGCTGCATTCATGTGGATTCGGACAAACCGGAAAACGAGTTTCCGAGTTGTAAAATGCACATGAACACCTGCTCAAGAATGACTTCCCAACTCGGAAACTGGGACCACCCGAGCAGCACCTGAATGCAGCATACATACCTGAGAGGACTGATGACACTTGCTAGACAGATGCAACGAGGTGTGCCACACTCAGCCCAAAACAACAGTACTTCTTAGACTACATGCACAGGTACTATGAAGTATTACTGTACTTTTTGAGAAATCCACTGTCAAAGTCCCTTATATGTCATGTTACAGAGTCTTTTTTTTCTGACTTTGATGTCTTGTAATCTGTCACATTCAAAACACTGCAGAGAGCTGTGTCATAGTACCTGTGCATGTAGTCTAAGAAGTACTAAGTCCAACCATTTAATTACCTGCGAGGTGCCACACCCAGCCCAAAACAACAGCCGTGATGTAGATGCATTAACATCCGCCTATTCATTGAGTAGCAGTAGCTCAGTGGTGACAGAAACATGATGTGGAAGTTGGTGCTTCTTGTTTTTTTCTCCATCGGGGTTTTGGGTAGGATTGGGGGTCGTGATGAAATAGATCTCAACCAAGATGTGGAGGCTCGAGAACTTCTGAAGTCTGCGGTGGAAGAGCACAGCCAGTTTGTTGACAAACTCGAGTTTGTTACAGTTCTGTGAACACTCACACACCTGGAGACAAGCCGGATATCAGGTGTGGTCTCTGTCAGTGGTGTGACGCACTTCTTTTTCAGTCTCAGGGTATACTCCCTTCTAAATCCCTCATGGGGCATGACCCTCCCTGTCTCTAAACTCTGAACTAGCAGGCTGCTGTAGGAGGCCTACGCACTAACGAAACGTGCAAGCGAACTGCTGCATTCACGTGGTGTCGGACATATCGAAAAAATGACTTTCAGAGAACTTTGTAAAATGCACATGAATCTGGGACCATCCGAGGGACACCTGAACGCACCATTACAGAAGGCCCTGAAAGTCACTACACGCAAAAACATTTCAAGAACAGCAAAAAGAGGAAATTAGTGAAAGACAAAAATATTTAATAGGACATAAAAACAACCTCGTGAACTTTATTTCTTGGCTTTTGGTGAAACATCTTTGAGTTTCACGAGATGTTTTCATGATTTTTTTATTTTTTTAACATTTCATGTAATATTCTTTTTTGTTTCTTTAAACGTTTTTTTAAGTTCTATAAAATATTTTTCCATGTTGTGAGATAAGTAATAAGTTTTGTTTTATTGCGCATTTAGATAAATGTTTTTGCATTTAGTGAAATGTTGTTCTTTTGAATACAAACGTATGATCCCACGCCCGGCCCTATCAAACCAGCTCCAACTCCTAAAGTTAAGACCCAAAAACAGAGTAAATTAAAATGTCATTTATCAAGTTGGCTTGATTGCAGTGGTTGTTCATTGAGATTTTGTTTTTCATCTGCCGTAGAGTTTCTACTGAGGTTACTGATCTGTATTTCCTTGACCCGTCCTCTTGTCCTCACAGGTGGTTGAAGGTGTTAAGTACTTCTTCACTGTGACTATGGCGAGGACCCAGTGCCTGAAAGTGGATGCAAATGACAAGGAGAATGGATTGTGTGTCGTCCATACAGACCCAGATGAAGCTAAGGTAAAGACTTGAGGGACCTGACTGTGGCTTTTAGAAAATGCCTTCTTTGCTCATTCAGGATTAAACGGGATATATTTATTAAACTGTTTATACTGATGAATTGATGATTCATGTATAAAATGTGCTCTCCTTCCTCAGCCTTACCAATGCTCATTCACGGTGTGGGTCAGACCCTGGACCTCGACCGGCAAAGAGTTTACGCAGACCTGCTAAGAAGAAAACCAACGCAGGAAAATCATTCAGTGCTCCCACATTGTAGCACAATCTCCTTCCAGATTTCTATTTCCTGTAGATAAAGCACAAGACCTGTATCACTTCAAATGGCTTCTTATCTTTGTAAACTGTTTACAACTCTAAACGTGATAATCTTTTAAAAGTCTGTTTCAGATTTCACTTTTAGTGAAACAACTTTATAATGCATTATCATCAAAACTACCTCATGAAATACACAATGTTTAAAAATTAAACACATTTTAACAGCATGTGATTGTGTTGATGTGTCTGGGTATTAAAGGTCACATATATAAATCCGCCATTGCATAAATCTCGAGAAACAGTGAGAATGATTGTAGTGCTTTAGTATCCTCACTTTTAACAAGTGGCCAGTTGTGAATCTTATCCATATAGGCAGCTGCAATTTTGTATTCATTTCCAAAATGCTCTGCTGAAAGACCTTTAGCTCTATGGTATCCCATTTTTGAAGTCAGCTGTGCACCAAATCTCTTGGTTGCCCCCTGGTGTACTGTTTGAGAAAATGCAAGCAGTCGCGCCTATTAGCTTCCTCCACGCCATTCTCAAAAGCTCTTATGAAAGACCTGTATTGAAGACGGTCTCCATCAAATACAGGGATGTTTCTTGGTGGGAGAATAGAACTCAGATTTTGCTGGACCAGCAGAGAAGTAATATCATTTTGTCTCTGCATTATGTTTACAATGTCATTCTGATAGTCGTCAGTCTGCTTACATACAAGTCCTGCTTGATGTTCATTAGCAGTTTCAGTCACTTTTACTGGAGCATGAAGCTGCAACATCTCATCCTTTTGTGTTTCTTGTCTTTGTTTGGGCTTAACATCTTGTGGATGAGAGATGGTATCAAGTCCAGCAATAACATTAACATTTCCTTCAACTACTGGTGCATTGGGATTTAATGCACTGACCTTTTGAGAATAGTTCCTTTCAAAGTAAGAGTTCATGCCATCTGAATATTTTGAGCCACACGCTGATGAATTTATTTCCAAGACCTGAAGCTTTGCATTTGTTACAGCCAGTTCCAGTTGTTCCTTTTCTCTCCTCGGCTTTTCCTCTTGAGCTTCTATTACATGTCTCCTTCCTTGCTTAAAGATTCGTGCATGTGAGCTTCATCTTGATAACACTGAATGAACGTGGCAAGCTCGGAATTGACTGAATTTACATTTTCACTTGACTCCATTAACAGAGTTTTTTTCTACAAACTTCTTGGCTTGTTTACATCTTGCACTCCTTTTTTCCTGGCACATTTCTGTGTACACAAGCTTTTAGAAGTGATTTTAATGTTTCTTTTAGCTGACGGCATTTCAACATCAATCACTGCAATGTAATTTACAGCAACATGTTAGCGTTTTTGTTTTTTTAAACTGCTTGTTGCGCAGCAATCGACATCCACAATGAGACAGAAAAGCAGGCCAAAAGCTTTCGACCAACATAACTTGTTTATTGGCCGATCAAATCCAGTTTCCAACACAAAAACACACTCTGCAGTCGGGTTAATTGTCAATGGATGCAGCCGACAGTCTTGCGTAAAAGTGTTGCATAGTAATAACATGCAGCGATTGTGCGCCGTCCAACTCAAACTTCATGAACTTGCACTTCAACGTGAAAACACTGAGGTTCAAACTCCGATCGTTCGGCTGTTTTCCAATACAGCAGTCGTGTCTCATACCAGTTTCTTTTGAGGAGGCTGAACGTTGTGTCGATCTGGGCCAGAAGCTGGTTTCCCCCTGATGCTGATTCCACAAGTTTGAAGTGGTGAGCAACACTTTTAATTGCCATAACACACCTTACCAAAAAAAAAAATGCCATCTGAAACGTGTTCACTATTTATTTTAAGAAAAAGCAGAAATGTAGGTTTTTAATACCAACACCTTACCTCTCTTGCCACCATGAAATGTGTTAGTCGAGATGGCGCCGCTCATTAGAAAGACCAGATTGTCCTCTACAGGGCCCAACAGGTTTCAGAAATATCCTTTGGAGATTCATGTCCCACACAGAGGACAAACATAAATTGTTGGGTTGAAGGACTATAGTCCGCACGTAGGCGTTCTTTTTTAACACCGCTTTCTCTGTGTTTTGGCCTTTGGTATGCAAAATGCATTTTAGGTCGCTGAAAATGTACATTTGGAAAACTCCTTCCAGGGTGAAGATTTTCAGGACCTCTGTTTATGTGTAGATGAGGAAATATTTGGGGCTTGTAATGTGACACTCACCTGCATTTTACATCAGTGTGCAACATGTTCACTAACGTTTACATGAGATTTATACAATGGCGGACGTATATATATATATATATATATATATATACACACACACACACACGTGTGACCTTTAATACCCAGACACATCAACACAATCACATGCTGTTAAAATGTGTTTAATTTTTAAACATTGTGTATTTCATGAGGTAGTTTTGATGATAATGCATTATAAAGTTGTTTCACTAAAAGTGAAATCTGAAACAGACTTTTAAAAGATTATCACGTTTAGAGTTGTAAACAGTTTACAAAGCTAAGAAGCCATTTGAAGTGATACAGGTCTTGTGCTTTATCTACAGGAAATAGAAATCTGGAAGGAGATTGTGCTACAATGTGGGAGCACTGAATGATTTTCCTGCGTTGGTTTTCTTCTTAGCAGGTCTGCGTAAACTCTTTGCCGGTCGAGGTCCAGGATCTGACCCACACCGTGAATGAGCATTGGTAAGGCTGAGGAAGGAGAGCACATTTTATACATGAATCATCAATTCATCAGTATAAACAGTTTAATAAATATATCCCGTTTAATCCTGAATGAGCAAAGAAGGCATTTTCTAAAAGCCACAGTCAGGTCCCTCAAGTCTTTACCTTAGCTTCATCTGGGTCTGTATGGACGACACACAATCCATTCTCCTTGTCATTTGCATCCACTTTCAGGCACTGGGTCCTCGCCATAGTCACAGTGAAGAAGTACTTAACACCTTCAACCACCTGTGAGGACAAGAGGGCGGGTCAAGGAAATACAGATCAGTAACCTCAGTAGAAACTCTACGGCAGATGAAAAACAAAATCTCAATGAACAACCACTGCAATCAAGCCAACTTGATAAATGACATTTTAATTTACTCTGTTTTTGGGTCTTAACTTTAGGAGTTGGAGCTGGTTTGATAGGGCCGGGCGTGGGCTCATACGTTTGTATTCAAAAGAACAACATTTCACTAAATGCGCAATAAAACAAAACTTATTACTTATCTCACAACATGGAAAAATATTTTATAGAACTTAAAAAACATTTAAAGAAACAAAAAATAATATTACATGAAATGTTAAAAAAAAAAAAAAAAAAATCATAAAAACATCTCGTGAAACTCAAAAGATGTTTCACCAAAAGCGAAATTAAATTAAAAACATCAGGAATCCAAACTAACTACATAAAAACAGTAAGATAAGAAACTGTAATTTCACTAATTTCCTCTTCTTGCTGTTCTTGAAATGTTTTTGCGTGTAGTGACTTTCAGGGCCTTCTGTAATGGTGCGTTCAGGTGTCCCTCGGATGGTCCCAGATTAATGTGCATTTTACAAAGTTCTCTGAAAGTCATTTTTTCGATATGTCCGACACCACGTGAATGCAGCAGTTCGCTTGCACGTTTCGTTAGTGCGTAGGCCTCCTACAGCAGCCTGCTAGTTCAGAGTTTAGAGACAGGGAGGGTCATGCTCCATGAGGGATTTAGAAGGGAGTATACCCTGAGACTGAAAAAGAAGTGCGTCACACCACTGACAGAGACCACACCTGATATCCGGCTTGTCTCCAGGTGTGTGAGTGTTCACAGAACTGTAACAAACTCGAGTTTGTCAACAGCCACAGATCAAAGGGAAGCCTTACTCACCTGTTTCTCGGCCTTTATCACCTCCTGCGGCATGGTGTAGTACATATCGTTACTCTGCTGGTTGTGTTCTTCCACCGCAGACTTCAGAAAATCTAGAGCCTCCTCATTTTTTTTAATGTCTATTTCATCGAGACCCCCGACCCCGACCCCGACCCCGACCCCGACCCCAAGGGAGAAAAGCGCCGCAAGAACAAGAAGCACCAACTTCCACATCATGTTTCTGTCACCACTGAGCTACTGCAACGACTCCATGCCTTGATGTTTTTCCTCCTTATTGTAGGCGGGTGTTAATGCATCACAGCTGTTGTTTTGGGCTGGGTGTGGCACACCTGGCAGGTAGGCTAATTAAATATCGTTGCACCTGTCTAGCAAGTGTCATCAGTCCTCTCAGGTATGTATGCTGCATTCAGGTGCTGCTCGGGTGGTCCCAGTTCCCGAGTTGGGAAGTCGTTCTTCCAAGCTCAGTGTATTCACGTGATTTCAGTTCGGAAAGTCTGAGTGTTGTAGCAACACAAAAAGGTGTTGACGGTACGAAGAAGAAGATCAGTGAAATGTAACTGTTCAAAGTTATATTTGAGCAAAAAAGTTGATATGCAATACCTGAATTAATTAAAAGTATGTTAACATTAACAAAACATATTTTGACCCCCATTTGATGACGATTATGACGTCAAGTCGGGATGTCGGGCATCTCATTCTTCTGTTTCCGAGTTGTTGTTCCGACTTGAGCAGGTGTTCATGTGCATTTTACAACTCGGAAACTCGTTTTCCGGTTTGTCCGAATCCACATGAATGCAGCATAACAGCCGAGGAATGCATCCCTTCTATCTGCAATAATGCCAAACTGAGAAAACCATTTTTTAAATATATATTGTAATATGAACTCCAGGTTAACCATTTCAGTTTTACGGCTAAAACTGCACTTTGCCTTTGTTTTACTGCTGAATAATTATAAGGCCAAACACTGATGGGCTGCAGTATCTAACAATTGTTAATGGGTTTTCATGTAATTGAGTTGATAAACAAGATGTATATTATTTTCCACTCAATTGTTTTGTTTCCTATTTTATTTTATAGATCAGATTAAAATATCTGTTTATGTTATAAATGAAATCTTACAGTTACTGTATGTTTGGGTATGTGAGCAACAATTCATATGAACTGAACAATTGATTAAAATCAATTAATCAATGAATTAAACACTGAATGCAACACATGAATGCGTTCTACGAGACACATGTGACACACATGTAATTATAGAACAGTTTTATCAGCCTGGGCATCAATTACCAAAATGTACTCAGGGAGAGATATAAACATAACTTTTACATCTTTTTGAGACTTCAAAAGTGCTCGATAAACAGAAACCACCACTGTTCTCTCTCTTTCACTTGCAGCAGTCGTTGGATACAAATATTACTTTAAGATCTGTAGATTTATTTTTGTCTACTTTTGGCTTGTAACATAACAGTGATTGAATCGTTTTAAAACATGTGGTATCAAAAATAAGTGAAACATTTTCACAACTTTGCTTTACATTACATAATTACATAATTTTACCCATTACATGAGTGATGTAAAAAACCTCCCCAGTTCTGATAAAATTGAGTGCGTTTACATTGAGTGTCCTGGTTATGAGCCTTATCCTGGTTGGTCCTAAAACAAAGGCAAACTGCAGTATCTGACACCTTCTTCATGGTGAAAGTGTCACTTACTGCAGTTTGCCTTGGTTTCACAGTGTATTTTACAGATACTGCGTAACTTAAAAAAAACAATATTTTTGGGAAATAAAGCAGTAGAACTATGAAACTCTCACAGATTGAGGAGCAGATACTGCACTTACGATTTTTGCAAAAAAGTGAATTTCACAAAAAGTGCAGATTTGGCTTTGTAGGGCAGAGGGAAGTGTCTGAAAACGTTATAAATCTTACTTCTGGGGGCAGATCTGTGATGACAAAGTATGTGACGTTCATACTTATTAAAGTTAAGTGTCCTGACGCATTTTCATTCGCCCGCGTTAAGACGACTTCAAACTGCGTTTTGGCTCTTAAGTGTCTAAAGAAGAAACTTAAAGCAACAGTATGGAGGAATTTGGTTTGATGCGTTATGAAAATACACATTATGTATCTGACATTTTTCTGTGTCTGTACCTTTAAATATGTAAATGAGCTGTGTCTGACCACGCCCCCTCTCTGGAAGGGCTTGGGTGTACTCGGTCTTTCTCGCTCCTTGTCCTATTGTTTACGGTGAGAAGGCAGACTCAGAGGGCAGAACAAACACCTAGCTGTGGGAGTGTCACCCACCTGGGGGAGGGGCTACTGCCCTTTGTGATGTCATGAAGGGAAAATCTCCAAACGGCCTGTTTGAGCACACATTTTCTGAAAAGTGGAGCAGGCACAAGACGGAGAGGATGGACTTTTCTCATTTTCTAGAGAGACTCTTGACCTCTGCACAAAGAATAAAATGCAAAACAGAACTCTCATTGATTGACCACATGGACACATTGATGGAAGTAAACATGCTGATAAAATTTTATTTCATTTAAAAACACGGTGGGGGGTTTTAAGGATGCTTATCTAAATTATGTGATTGTTTTTGTGATTATAAAACAAAAAAGTGCTACTCTAAAAGTTCCTCTACATCGCCTCAGTGCACAGAATAATCTGGCGTCTGCAACCTAGTAACAGTTACAAAACATAGGAAAGTTAATACTGTGGTATTGCTTCGTCCACAGGAAATACTACTCGTGGTGAAGGTGCAAAGCGCTGCGACTCTTTCCCCCCACGCAGGTCTCTTAAGTGCACGTCTGCTCCGTCAGTTTGATCTCGCCGCTCCACGGTTTATCCCACACTTTGAAGGTGCACTGGTAAGACTGAGAAAGACAAAGCACAGTGGACACATTTTTATAAACACATCCCAGAACAAACCCTCTTCTGCTACAGAACATTACATGGTCAAAGATAAACAGAAGTGTGTTTGCTTTGAGGGGATTTTTTGGCCTTGACTATTTGTTTAAACCTCTTCACCTCAGTAAACATGCCTGAACCCTTCCCTTCACTCTGTTTGGTGCCAGCTTGTCTCCACGGTAACCCAAATTAAAAAAGCCTGACGGTTTCAAAGAAGAGGGGCGGGGGGGGGGGGAGCATACTCTTGTTTCACAATCTGATGGCAGTGTCTTGCATCCCTGAAACATTCTTTTTTTTTTTTTTGAGAGCGTGCACAGCTAAACGCTCAAATTAGACACGAGGCAGCAATCAGGTGTCGAGAAAAATGTTTCTGTTTCAAATGTGCTCTCCTTGTGATGTCACAGTGGGATTCTGGTAAAAAAAAAAAAAAAATCCCCTCCCCTCCCCTGATATCTCCACCTCCAGCCTAGAGTAAAACTTTTGTGCAGGTCTGCCATTTTTATTCCCTCTACAGAGGAGTGATGTCTACGGGGATAACTCGGGGGGGGGGGGGGGGGTCATTACATTTAAAGAGACACACACACCAAAACGGAGCGTTCTGAGAGAGCTGGTTTATACAGGGTCACAAACCTCCTCTGGTGCTTGAGTCATGTTAGATTTTGACCAAAGCACAGCACAGATGTTTCACTGTTTGAAAAGGTGGGGGAGGGGGAGAATATGTCCCCTTTAAATTAAAGGGACCATCACTGGGCTGCCAGTGCCAATGATAGAAAATGGTTTTATGGTATGATATTTGTCTATATTGGTTGACTAAAACAATAGTTGATTTTTTCCCAGGTTGTAGTCCTTTTTATGAAGACTGTACCTGAGCCTTTGCTGGGTCCTCTTGGATGGCGCACTGTTCAGTTGCAGCGCTCTTCCTGCAGGAGGTCGATGCCATTCTCACAGTTATTATGTACAAGTAGCCAGCGACCATCTGGAAGGAGACGAGAGTGGGTCACAGAAATACAGATTAAGGATTACCTCAGTAGCAACACACATATAAAGACCAATTTAATACAGCAGCCAACATTTCCCAGTTCAGACGACAACGTCTTGATAACCACTGTGCACACGGATCAGCAAAAAAGACTAAGACTGTAGAATATGTGTAGACCAGTAGTTCGGTCCCAGAAGATCTGGTCAGTGTTGCCAGGTCCGCTTGTTGTAAGCGGCTTTGGGCTTGTTTTTCTGTAAAGTTGATTGCAAATATCGTCAGTCACGGGTTGCAGCTTTTTGGGCTTGTTTTCTAAAGTGCAGTTGCTTGTTTGGGCTTTCTTTGCTCCCTGTATGAACCCCGATTCATTTTATTTCTTTGAGGAGCCAGCTCGCTTGTTTTGGGCTTGTTCCCATATAGCTGGTTGCTTGTTTCTCTCGCGAGATCTGGTAACAGTGGATCCGGCGTTAGTTGCGGTCAGCTCACATATGTGCATATAACTTTGTGCAGAGCTGTTCCCAAAGAGGAGAGAGTGGAATCAGTAGTTATTAAGAGAGAAACAGCTGCAGTCAGCGTCTTTTAAACAGTTTGTCACCTCCCCTTGTTGCGAGAAAAACAAACCATGTAACTGCCTCTCATGTTTAGTTTTTCTCTTTTATTATTGTAACAGATAATTATTGTATTATTATTATCTGTTCTGCAGTCATTGAGGCGGAACTAATTATTATTGATTGTTCCGCATGCAGCAGTTTTGCCGACGCACCTCGACAGACGTGACACAACAACAGGATGAAGAGCGGAATAAAACTAAAGAAGTTAACACACATTAAAAGATAGATCTCCGCGAGTGGGCGTGGCTTCGGTGCATTCCGTGGACACGCCCACAGCATCCCAGAGGAGAGAGAGCAGCTACATTTTTCATGATTTTGAAGCTTAATTTTATAAACTTGCACGTTTTTTTCATTGCTGAAATTTGGCCTGGTGGTTAATAACACATTCTTCTTTTGTATAAAAAGCTAAAAAACATATATATATTTTTTGGTTTACAGGGACTTTAAGGAGAGTAAAGAAGGATTAGCCCCTCTTAGATAATAAGCAGCCTACGAGGTGTGTGTGAGTTTTACTGCTTTGTTTATGTAAATATTATATATAAATATAAATATAAATATAAATAAGCGATGACGCGGGAATTGTTCTACTAATTGAAAGTGAGTAAATGAAAGTGTGTTATCTACGTTGTCTAAATGTTAACTCTTTAAAAGACAAAGGAATGACCCCCTGTGGTGTTAAACAGCTGTTCACAGGCCCAATGAAAACAAAGCGCAGATAGTTAAACACCTGGACTGTCCCTCTCCACTAGACCACAGCCTGTTAACGTCCACCAATCCAGTCTGGACTCTCACCTGTCTCTGGACCTTGATGACCTCCTGCGGCTTGGTGAGGAGCAGCCTGTTACTCTGCCTGTTGTGTTCGATCACCGCGAAGTTCAGGGCGTTCACAGCCCCCTCATTGGAGGCACTAATGTCGGTCGGTCCGCCGATCAAACCCGCCAAGCCGACGGAGAAACCCGCCGCGAGAAGAGGGAGCACAATCTTCCACATCGTGATTTCTGTGATCGCAGGAAAAGAAACGAGAAAAACAACTGGACGCTGCCCTCCCTGTTATATAAACAAAGACGGCGTCACGACCGAGGGACGTGCGCTGGGAGTGGCGCATCCCGTCAGCCAATCACAAAGCTCCTGGTGCATTCCGGTGTACCTCGGAATTTACACAGTTCCCGTTACTTCTTAGGAAACTGACCGTGTATCTGAATCATGAGATTCAGACTTCATCTCCAAATGTACAAATTGATGCATCCCGTCAATGCTTCCAATATGTTTTATGTTTTTCTAGTCTTGTGTCTTTTCTTAGCATTTATTTTATATAGCATATAGCATTTATATATATTATATACATACATATTTACATATATATGTACTGTACATATATTCTAGTTTTATTTAAACTTTCTTAATTGCACTGTACGTTGTTACTCTTATCTTCTATACTATTTTTTATTTTTGCATTGTTAAGGAGAGCTTGGAACCCAAACATTTCATTGCCAGCTATGACTGCTTTGCCTGTTATGTTGTGCATTTGACTAATAAAGATAACTTGTAACTTGTATTTAGCCTGGTTAACCCACTAACTGTTACAAACTATCAATATATTAAAGATAATGAATGAGCTAGTTTGTAGGAGCCAATTTAGTGTGTGTGTATTTATGTATTGTATTTCAATGGCTTTTGTTTATATGTTTATTTATTTACTTAATTTGGGAACATCCTGTTCTTACTGTAACACAACATAACGCACGTAGGCTATTTAAGAGAACAAAAGAACGACAACCAACAGTATAATCTCAGAAATAACAACTCATCATATCATCATCACGGTTTGTCTCTGCTTCATATGTGACAATAAACTGGAACATCAGAAAGTACTTTCATTTTGGACATTTGTTTATTTTTTACGCGTCCATACACCTGTGCAAGTGACTAAAGGCAAGAGAAGAAATCTGGACATTAGATAGTCACTACACAGTTCATCGGCTGGTCGTTCACCAAAATGTCCTTCTGTTGTGTCAAACTTTGCCAACCTGAATGTAAAATGTTTAATCCGGAAACTCGTTTTTCCGACACCCCCTGAACGAAGCACTGATAAGGTTTTGCTTTACCAGCTTGTTTTACCTGTAAAGTGTGCTCGTTTTGGACACCAGTGAATCCCGTACCCGTACCTTCTCCCTTTTCCAAACGGAATCCAAACATTATCTCCAGGCACCTTTTAAAGGAGGCAAACGAGGTATGCTGAAATGCTAGATTATTGGGTTTAAACGCGGTTCTGCAGTTCTCTAAGTGCTGTTTGCAAAATGAAAGTTTGCTGAACTCTGTCCCAGTGCAGGTTTAAAGACTTCACCTTTGGACCTCACTATGCAAAGACTTCAGGTGTTAAAGTAAGGAGCTTAGGCAATCTGTAATCACCAATAATCAAAATGTATCCACATGCAATTACTTTTAAAGATATCAGAGCTGGTGCCACCTTCAAGGACTTTTCTATCATCTACTTTTTTGTGTCATTCTTTTTGCAGAGACGCTTTGCTTGGCTTGGATCTGATCCAAAGGCAGGCGCTGGTGGGTTCAGCGGTTGCAGCGGGGGGACTTCTGGCCTACATGGTCCACAGAAGAAGACAAGTGAAAACGATTCCGCTCGGCGAAGGATGGTGGGGAGCCGGAGAGAAACCACTGACAGAGGATGATAAAATCTACCCATTTAAAGTGGAAACTTCAGAAGAAGAAATCAAGGTCCTTTGGACTTTATTAATTTGCCATATTGAATAAAACTACTGCTGCCATTTTCCCTCTGACGTCATTTCAGGATGAGCTGCACGTGTGATCAGACATCCTTTTTCCTGCCGTAAATCAGAGTGAGCTGATGTGAGAACACAGCAGGATATAATCAGGAGAATTCACCTGGAGCCAGTGGGAGGGGCCAGTGGGAGGGGCCAGTGGGAGGGGCCAGTGGGAGGGGCATAGCGTTGTATAGTGTTGTGAGGTGCATGTGTGAACAACCAGATCAGGAGGATTTCAGGGGCAGTCTACACGAGGGCATGTGTGAAAACGGCTTTAGAGAGGGCGGGGTTTATGACCGATACTGCAGCCAGTCAGCAGGGGGGCGCTCTTAATCTTTTGGCTTCACTGGAGGCGAGGTGTCTGTCCATTCTATATACATTCAGATCTTCACTATCCGTTGTCTTTTCAGTCGCTTATTTTTTACCAGGAGATGATAACTATTGTCATGTACTTTTTAAAAATGGACGTCATGCGGTTATGCTGAATTACACTAAAAATAATATTTGTATGAACAAAAAGAAAGTTACCTGTTCTCTAAATCCACAGGACCTTCATGAGCGCATTGACCGAACACGCTACTCGGATCCTTTAGAGGACAGCTACTTCCACTACGGCTTCAACTCCACTCACCTGAAGAAAGTGGTTTCTTACTGGAGACACGAGTTTGACTGGAACAAGCAGGTGGCGGTGCTGAACAAGTATCCACACTTCAAAACTAAAATAGAAGGTACATGCAGCCCTCATGAGAATTAGGATACCTGGACACTTGTTTCTGTCGCTCTTCTCTCTAATGCTTTTTTTTTTCCTCGTAGGAGTGGACGTGCACTTTATTCATGTTCGGCCGCCACACCGCGAGAATCAGACGGTGCTGCCTCTGATGCTCGTCCACGGCTGGCCCGGCTCCTTTTACGAGTTCTACAGGATTCTACCTCTTCTCACAGAGAGCCGGGACGGCGTCGTATTTGAGGTCATATGTCCGTCCATCCCTGGCTATGGTTTCTCAGAAGCTCCTCATAAACAAGGTAGGTGAACCTGGAACGGCCGAGGTTCACCACTGGAACTTCAGGTACTCACTGCATCTCCACTGATGAACTCCGATGAACTCCTGAAGACTATTTTGACCCCTAAGACTGACTACACACTAGAACATTTTAAGCCTGATTTTTGTACTGATTTCCCCCCCAACGATCAGGTTTGTGTGGCCAGATTCGAGGCTTCACTAACTCGATGTTGACTACTTTAAAGGAGCAGTATGTACGTTTCTGCTCGTGGAGCTTATTAGAAACATGCAGAGGCTTTTTAGGTCGGGTACAATCACTTCTATCTGAACCACTTCTCTTGACCGCTTCCATCGCTGCAACACCTGTTGACCTGATAACTGCTCTCATATCTGGTGAACCTAGAGGAGTCCAAAACGGCCGTGTGGGGGGTGTCTTAAAAGCGCCTACCTTCTCTGGTCCAAACAAATCCAGAGCATTCAGGAGCAGAATCTAAAGTTAGAAGGAGGACATACTGGCTGCTGCATTGTTGTCAGAGAAGCCAGCACTTCAACATGATTTAAAAACACAGTGGGAGTTTTTGAACTCTCTTTAAAGCTGCAGATAGGCATTATAAGAGCTGCTGAAATGTAGCTTGGTTTTTAATGAAATTAAGATGGATTAACTGGTGTCACATGCTCTTTAAAGGAAGGACAAAAAAGGACAACATAACAAACATCAGAAAATGATTCAGCGCCCCTCCTGTTACATGTTCCCGTTGATGGGTGGAATTAGTTCCTTAACAACGCCAACTATTTTCTGGTATTTACCA